GGGTCCCGACCCGAAATGTCAGCTTTCCTGCTCCTCTGATGCTGCCTGGCCTGTTGTGTTCCTCCAGCTCCACACTTTGTTACTTCTGACTCCAGCATCGGCCGTTCTTGCTATCCCAGCCTATCTAACCTCTCCTTATATCTCAAACCCTCCATTCCTGGCAACATCCTGGTAAATCTCTTCTGAACCCTCTCCAGCCTAATAATATCCCTCCTATAAGTGGTTGATCAGAACTGGAAGCCATACTCCAGACAGGCCCTTCGGAAACAGGCCCTTCGGCCCAACTTGTCAATGCTGACCAGTTTTCCTGAACTGAACTAGTCCCATTGGCCTTCATTTGGCACATGTCCCTCCAAACCTTTTCTATTTGTTGCTTAAAATGTGGCAATTTGTACAGTCATGATGCACCAGTAACACTAAAATAAAGATGAAGTTCTGTGGACGCTGAAGATATGAAATAAAAACAGGAAGCGCTGGAGAAACTCAGCATCTGTGGAGAATATGACTCTTCTGTGGAACTCCGCTTAAGAATACTAGTCATATTGTTACTTTACATCGGGACATTGTGATAGTGCCAAGAACAATGGAACCTTTACTCTATTGGTCTACAGGGTAGAGGTACAATAGAGCTGTACCCTTAGTCTATGAGGATGAAGAGTATAATGGTGCCTGTGCACCTATTCCAGTGACCAGAGGGTATAATGGAGCTTGTGCCCATTTAAGCTATCCAACAAATGGTACTGTATGATCCCTACCCCTTTGATTATATGTTGGATTTTATTTTTATAATGGAGACCACAGTCTCAGAATAAGGGGCTGATCACTTAGAACTGAGATGAGGAAAACCTACTTTAAACAATAGGCCAGTACACTATGGAGTCCTCCACCCCAGGCGTTAGAGAATGCTCTATCTCTGAACCTCTAAGTTTGGGATAGACATATTTTTGGTGTCTCAGGGAATTGGGGAACATGGGGAGAAGATAGGAAAGTGGATCCTGAGATCCTATTGAATGGTGGAGCAGGCTTGATTGGCTCCATGGTTTACCTTGTTCCTAATTTCCTGTGCTCTAACGTAGGAGACCCAGCTACGGAGAGGGAAAGTTTCTAGAAAGTTGAGGCAATTTAGAGATTCGCTGTCTGTTGATCCAGTTAATTCTTTGCATGGTTCTGCTGTACATAAATTGCTAAAAACACCAATGCCTTCACTTCAGAAGTAGTTTGTTATCTGTGAAGCATCTTGGGACATGTTAGAAATTAAAGTTTCTATGTAAATAGAAACATAGAAGATAGGAGCAGGAGGAGGCTATTCGGCCCTTCGAGCCTGCTCCACCATTCTTCACCATCATGGCTGATCGTCCAACTCAATAGCCTAATCCTGCTTTCTCCCCATAACCTTTGATCCCATTCACCCCAAGTGAGCTATGTCTAGCTTCCTCTTGAATACATTCAATGCGCATCAAAATGTTTTTTAGTGTTGTTAGAAACTGCTCAAGGTTCCCACCACAGTGCAGAAGCTATTATGTCAGTTTGTGTTGCAACAAAGGAGCTTTGGGTTTATTTAGTAATGAATGTATTTCCATAGATTTTGATATATAAGTACCTTAATAACATAAATGTGTGTTGAATCTTTGCTGGATATCCACAATCGACCTAATGTCTCCTGGGTAGGAAGGGGGCAGATCATCAAGAGACCCCACTTTTGATTGTAATTTGCTTCTAAATGCACCAGAGTGTATCTAATAAACAGTTATTGACCTGAGCTGGATTAGATTGGTTGTGATGTCTTCCATGATGGAATAGTATTTTCAAATAAATAACTACATATGGGTATTGAATAACAGTCAGCACCATGTACCATGTCAGAGCAAGGACTGAGTTACTTCAATGGAGAAAATTGGCAGAAAGATTTCCCACAAAAGTAATAAACAGGGAATCTTTCTTAGAGTACAATGTGGTACTTTTTGTGCACACCAGATCAGCACCTGTGAGTTTCATCAAAGTTCATGAGTTATTAACATTTAAAAATTCATTCATGAATGTGGACATCACTGTCTAGGCCAGCATTTATTGAATGTCCCCAGTTGCAATGGAGATGGTGATTAGTTTTTATCTGCTACAGTCCTTATGGGGTGTGTACATCCTTAGCACTGTTAGAGAGGAAATTCCAGACTTTTGACCTGGCGACAGCAAAGGAATCGCATTTTAGTTCCAAGGCAGGAATGGTGTTTGGCTTGGAGATTAATTTGCAGGTGGGGTTCACATGTACGTCTGCCCTTATTCTTCTGGGTGGTAGCAGTCTCTGGTTTGGAACTTAGTGGTGAAGGAGCCTTAATGAGTTATTGCATCTTGGGGATGGAATACACTGCTGTTAGTGGCGAAGGGAGCGAGAGTGGAAGGTTGTCATTCGGGTGTCTTTCAAGTGGTCTGCTTTGTCCTGGATGGCGTCAAGCTTCTTGAGTGTTGCTGGAGATGCATTCATCCAGGCAAGTGGGGACTATTCCATCACACTCCTGACTTGTGCCTTGTAGATGGTGGACAGACTTTGGGGAGTCAGGAGGTGAGTTACTCACTGCAGCATTTGTAGCCTGTGGCCTGCTCTTGTAGCCGTAGTATTTATATGACTAGTCCGGTTTACTTTCTGGTCAATGGTAAACCCCAGAATATTAATAGTGGGTGATGGTAATGTTATTGACAATTAAGTAACAACTGTTTGATATTCTCCTGTTGGAGATGGTCATGGAGTGGCACTTGTGTGGAATGAATGTTGCTACTTATCAACATGAACTTGGATATTGTCCAAGTCTTTTTGCAAATAGACATGGACTGCTTCAGTTTCTGAGTCACAAATGATGCTGAACATTGTTCAACGACCACCACCATCTGCAAGTTCCCCTCCAAGTCACTGACCATCCTGACTTGGAAATATATCGCCAGTCCTTTGGTATCGCTGGGTCAAAATAGAGTCACAGAGTCATACAGCGTGGAAACAGACTCTTTGGTCCAACTCATCCTTGCTGACCAGAGATTCCAGTCCTAGTCCCATTTGCCAGCGTTTGGCTCATATCCACTTCCTCTGGCTGCTTGTTCCATACACGTACCACCCTCTGCATGTAAAGTTGCCCCTCTAGTTCCTTTTAAATATTTCCTCTCTCACCTTAAAGCTATGCCCTCTAGTTTTGGACTCCCCTACCCTGGGAAAGAGACCTTGGCTATTCACCCTGTGCATTGCCCCTCATGATGCCCCTCAGGCACTGTTTAGCCTTCATCAGATATGATGGTGAAGCAGGATTTGAGGGCTGGGTTTAGCAGCACTTTCTTGTTTTGTTTCTGATTTCTAGCACCGGCGATATTTTGCTCTTATTTTCCTAGCTATTAAGGAATTACTTGTTAATGATTGTGTCCCAATTGTGCACCATTGCATTTTTCGCAAGTTCTAAAGTACTATGTCTCATAGTTAATGTCTGTGTGAAACACACATGGCCATCTGCTTTCAACCTTCGAGCTACACAGAATAAAGAACAATACAGCACAGGAACAGGCCCTTTGGCCCACCAAGCCTGTGCTGACACATGTTACCTTTTTACACAAAAAACCTTTTGCTTCTGTGTGGTCTATATCTCTCTATTCCCTGCCTATTCATGTATCAGTGAAGATACCTCTTAAACATTGCTATTGTATCTGCTTCTACGACCTCCTCCGGCAGTGCATTCCAGGCACTTACCACCTTCTGTACAAAAGTCTTGCCTCTCACATCACCCTTAAACTTACCTCCTTAAATCTTAAACCTCTGTCCTCTAGTAATTGGCATTTCTACCCTGGGAAAATGACTCCCACTATCCATTCTATTCATGCCTGTCCTAATTTTGTAAATTTCTATTATGTCCCTCCTCAGCTTCCAACGTTTCAGTGAAAATAAATCAAGTTTGTCCAATAACTCCTTTGTAGCTAATATCCCTCAAACCAGGCAACAGTCCTGGTAAACCGTTTCTGTACCCTCTCCAAAGCCTGAGAGTTACAATTCACTGTGCAATCCTGGATTTGAATGGAATATTTCAAATGAGTACAGTTTTTAGAACATTGCGTACAATTCTGGTCACCCTGCTATAGGGAGGATGTTGTTAAACTGGAAAGGATGCAGACAAAAAATAAATTTACAAAGATTTTGCCAGGACTGGAGGTTTTCAGCTATAGGGAGAGGCTGGTTGAATGGGATTTTGTTCCGTGGAGTGTCAGAGGCTATGGGGCAACCTTATAGAGGTTTATAAAATTGCGAGGGTCATGGATAAGGTGAATAGCCAAAGTCTTTTCCTCAGGGTAGGAGAGTCTAAAACTAGAAGCCACAGGCTGAAGAGGAGAGGGGAAAGATTTAAAAGGGATCTGAGGGCAACTTTTTCACGCAGAGGGTGGTGCGTGCATGGAATGGGCTGGCAGAGGAAGTGGTAGAGGCTGGTAAAATTGCAACATTTAAAAGACTGGATGGGTACATTGAATAGGAAGGGTTTAGAGGGACGTGGGCCAATTGCAGGCAAATGGGACTAGGTCAGATTGGGATGCATGGTCGTCAAGGGTGTGTTGAAGAAGGGTTTCTGAAGAAGGGTCTAGACATGAAACATCAGCTTTCCTGCTCCTCTGATGCTGCCTGGCCTGCTGTGTTCATCCAGCTCCACACCTTGTTATCTCAGATTCTCCAGCATTGGCAGTTCCTACTATCTCTGTTGAACTGAAGGGTCTGTTTCCGTGCTATACATCTCTCTGTCCCCATGACTCTGAATGGGATTGGATTAATTTGGGATACCTGGTTGGCATGGACGAGTTGGACCAAAGGGTCTATTCAATGTTCTGTGACTCCATGCGTCTATTATGCAAACCAAGACAATTCTTCCATTAAAAATAGAATTATCATTTCCTGCAGGGATCTAATGTGCGACAGTTTCCAACAAAACTGATTCTTAGCCTGACGATAGATAAATATCTCTAACATCTTCTCATTGCCATTCCAGGTACAGCAGGAAGACAGTGTCACCAATCAACCTGATCGAAGCGCCGTGATCAGGGAGAGGTTACATCGTAAAAAAACCCCGGAACTATCTGCTGTGATCCGCAGAATCAATAACCACAAAGGTAGTCTTTTAAAGCCTCCAAGTGCGGTGTAAATGAAGTGGCTCAGTGTGTCAGGTTTTTATGAAACCTCCACACTCGGGAGGGTGCCAGGCTGTGCCGTGCGTGGAACGACAGGAGATGCTCTAAGCCAGCAGGTAGCTTGAGCAGTCTGGAGAATTAGCAGGTGACCGGTCTTGTTAACCCGCTCTGTGTGGAAGCTTAAATGCTGCTTGGTGACTGCGAGGGGAGCAATACTGCAAATTGAGCTCTTGCTTGAATGATAATATTCCTCTCAGCAAGTATCCTGTTGAAACATGATTTTAATCGTCAGCGCATGCCAACGAGGAGCAGACAGAATGCTATTATCATCGATTCAGAAGGCTAATTGATGGGACCCAGTTTGAGGGTTTGTAGACATGTTGGAATAAAGTTCCCACTTGTGTAGTTAATATTACACTGTGCAGTAATAAATGTTTTTGCGAAATCTAAAGGGACGGCCCTTTAGAACGAAGACGAGGAGGAATTTCTTCAGCCAGAGGGTGATGAAGCCAAGTCTTTGAGTGTATTTAAGACAGACATAGATAGGCTCTTGATTAATAAGGGTATCAACGGTTACAGGGAGAAGGCAGGAGAAGGGGGTTGAGAAACATATCAGCCATGTTTGAATGGCAGAGCAGACTCGATGGGTTGAATAGCTTAATTCTGCTCCAATATCTTATCACAGAATCCCTACTGTGTAGGAGTAGGCTATTCAGCCCATCGAGTCCACACCAACTCTCCAAAGAGCATTCCACCCAGACTCAGCCCCCTACCCTATCCCTATAACCCTGCATTTCTCATGGCTAATCCACCTAGCCTCCATATCTCTGAACACTATGGACAATTTATCATGGCCAATCCACCTAACCTGCACATCTTTGGACTGTGCAAAAACAGTGAGAACATGCAGACTCCACATAGGCAGTCACCCAAGGGTGGTATTGAACCCGGATGCCTGGCGCTGTGAAGTAACAGGGCTAACCACTGAGCCACCGTGCCATCCATGGCCTTATTTGTCTATTATTTCACCATGGATCTGTTTAATTTAACTAGGCGAATCACTGTATCAAAACAGATCGAAGATTTTCTGAAGTGCAGGTTCTGTTGCCTGCTACTTGTGCTTTCTGCCAGTGGTTTTTGCTCTGGAAACTTCTGCATGCCTAGTATTTCATTCAAATAGTAACTCTTCATTCCTGGTTTCTGCTAATGACTCTTGCCATATTATGTCGGCATTACAGCAGAACCCAATCCTACCTTTGCCTTCTTTTTTCTATTCATTTGTGGGATGTGGGCATTGCTGGCTGGCCAGCATTTCTAGCCCATCCCTAGTTGCCCTTGAGAAGGTGATGGTGAGCTGCCTTCTTGAACCGCTGCAGTCCTCCTGCTGTGGGTTGACCCACAGTGCTATTAGGTAGGGAATCCCAGGATTTTGACCCAGCGACAGTGAAGGAACGGCGATATATTTCCAAGTCAGGATGGTGAGTGGCTTGGAGGGGAACCTGAAGGTGGTGGTGTTCCTACACCTGCCTAGAAGAACCCATGAGAAGTGATCAGATCTTCCTTGTGCATTTCCCCTTTCTACTTAAGATCGAAAACAATGATCCAAGTGAAAGCAGCTAATGATGCAGAGCTGGAAATTTTTATCCTCTCATTGGGCGAGACCAGTGAGGCAATATGGTAGAGGTGAGGTGACCTTGTTTTCTGACATTAAGACACTGACTGGGCCAGTAAGGTTTGGCAAGAATTTGCTATACCTAACCCCCAACAATCTGCTTCATATCTCAGCCTCTGTGTCACTGTTTCTTTTCGACACAGTAAACATCCTTGTGTTCCATTGCAATGGGGCAATGAAAAGATTACTAACCCACAATGCCAATCTGTGTTGGAATCCAACATTGGGTTGAGACTCCCTAAATTCGTCTCCAGCGATCTTTCTTGCTTTCATTTCAAGTCAAGATCTCACACAGCTCCATCATTTAAATCCTGAAATAACTGTGGGAGAGGGTGCATTGGCCTTCTATGCAAACAAATGTGAAATATTTTCATCATTGTGACATTGGTAAATGCAGTGCAAACACCACTGGGATCACAATAATTACTGGATTGATCCTTTAGTATGTTAATCTATAATCAATAATCTAAAGATCACTGTGGAATGCTCATTGTCCAGTAAGCTACTTCTGTGAGATTCAGATTTATATCACAATTGGTTAATTTTTCATCCACTTTCTTTTCGGAGTTTCTTCAGGGCTTGAAATTCTAATTACTGAAAAAAAAATTGGGCTAATTGTGGTAATTGGGATTATAATAGCCAAAGGGCTCATCTCCTGTGGTAATTGCATTTGCTCATTCCATGGTTCAATAAATTGATACTCTTCCTATCAATAACTTTGAATTGACATGAATATTTTGTGCAAATTTTTTTTTCAGGAGAGAACAGTGTTGCACAGCCGACAGAAGCAGGCATTGACTTGTGGTTGTCCCACAGGTCCCTTAGTTACCAGCCTCCCTCCCCCTCAGCCCCCATCACCAAGAGCTTCAGTAGAGACTGTGTCCCAAGGAATGGCAGTGTCATGTCTTTTGCTGCGGTCCCAGATGCAAATGGAAACTATAGTGTTTCCAAGCCTCTCATGGGTGTTTCTTCCTATAGCCAGCACCTTTCGAGGTCTAGGGAGTTCCTAACTGGCAGATCGCAGCAGTTGGGGAACAAGGAGCCTCACAGTTCTTCGGCTGCCTGCATCACTTCAGCACTAGATGCCTTTAGAAGAGTGAAGGAAGGGCAAGGCAGGCTTCAGAGACCGGAAAGCTCAATGCTGTCAGAGGGTAAGTGGAACTTGTAGGTAGAATTTTCACGTTGAAAAGGTAATTTTTATTAATGACTTTCAGTGTCTGTGACTTTCCCTTTCGTTCATTGTTGGCCATGTTTTTGTGACCTTTCTCCCTTATGAGCACTCTTACTGTTAGCGGGTGGTCAAATTATGAAGGTCTTGTGACCAGGGAAGTAAACGTTGATGAGGGCAAAGTAATCCCTTCCAACAATGAATTCCTTCAGGGTGGAGATGCTGACTAGATCCATTGATCAGTGATCGCAGGTGGAGCAATGGCATTGGTGCCTGTTCTATATTGTGCCTGACCTCTTAAAAGAAAATTGGATGCAGGGATGTCGCGTCACTATCATTCCAGCGCTTACACAGAACTAATGATAGCCATGATGTGGAGGTCTGGGGTGGACAAAGTCAGAAGTCACTCAACACCAGATTGTAACCCAACATGTTTATTTGAAATCACAAGCTTTCGGAGCGTTGCTCCTTCATCATTTAAAGTCTTCACCTGACGAAGGAGCAGCGCTCCGAAAGCTTGTGATTTCAAATAAACCTGTTGGATTATAACCTGGTGGCGTGTGACTTCTGACTCTGTAGAACGAATATCGCTCCCAGACTGCAGTGATGCGAGAGGGCAGTGTCAACTTTAATGCACAGTTCTACAGAGTATGCAGGCTCAGGGGAACCTGGCTGTGTGTATGCAATCTTGAAGGTGGCAGGACATATTAAAAGAGAGAATGAAAAAGCCTGCGGAACCTTGGACTTTCTAAGTCGAGGCCTTGAATACAAAAACAGGGAAGGTACGCTGAACCATTAGGCCACAGCCAGACTATTGGACCAATTCTGGTCAACAGCATGCTTTACAAAGCACGCGAGGGTCCTGTAGAGGGAGCAGAGGAGTTGTATCACAATAGTCCGAGGGATTGAGGGTGGGGTTGGGGTCTCAGTTACAAGGTTAGCTTAGAAAGACTGGAGCTGTTCTCCTTGGAACAACAGACACTGAGAGGAGATTTATTAAAAGTGGATAAGATTATGACAGGTTTTGATAAAGTAGGAAAATTTTAAGGAAAATCGGTTCTCATCAGCTGATGGTACGAAGGTTTGGAGACACAGATTTAAGATCTTGGGCAAGAGATGAAACTATATGTGAGAGAAAAAAATTTAATGCAGCGAATGGTAATAAACTGGAATTCATTGCTAATGAGGATGGTGGAAGCAGAAATGGTCAATAATTCCAGAAGGAAATTAGATGGCACTGTGAGGAAATAAACTTACTAGCATAGACTCAATGGACCAAATGGTGTCTTTCAATTCTGTAAACATCTCTATGACTGTGTAAAATTAAGGTTTGTGAAAATCTAATAACCTGACTTATTGTGATTGTTTAATCATTCCAAATAAATTTCTAGCTCTGGACGTTCAAAACACGTTACTAAGATTCTTTGGAAGACATGACTTGAATTAAAATCACTGTTTGAAGAGTGAAATCTTTGAGCCTTTCAGCACACTGGAACAGTATCAACAACTTGCATTAAAATAGTGCCACTTAACATAGCAAAATGTTTGAAGGTGCTTCAATGATGAACTATTGAGTAAACGTTTACATGGAGTCACAAGGAGATGTTGGGATAGGTGAAATCAAAGAAATAGGTTTTAATAAGTTAATTAAAGGGGAAAGACAGGTAAAGAGGTGTAGAGAAGGAATTCCAGAGCTTAGGGCCTACCTGATGCACATCCACCACTGATGACAGTATTAAAATGTGGGATGTGCAAGAGACCATAGCTGGAGAGATCTTGGAGGGTTGTAGGGCTGATTACGTTACAGAGATAAGAAAGGGTGAAGCCATGAAGCATTTGAATTTAAATGGACATATGTTTGTACAACTGAGGAACATCAAAATTAAGAGCAGGACTAGGCCACTCGGCCCCTTGAACCTGCTCCATTATTCGATAAAATCATGGTTAACCTGATTACCCCTCATTCCCATATACCCATGATAATCATTCCATCTCTCTGCCTTGCTTCTCAGGAATGTATCTACCTTAAAACTTCAAAGCTTCTTCTTCAACTGCCTTTGAAGAAGTGAGTTCCAAAGACTTATGAGTCTTAAAGAAAAGATTTCTCCTCATCTGTGTCCGAAATGGATGAGAGTTGGTGAGAGGCATTGACTCCAGACAGATGAAAATGCCACAAACCAAGAGCAACTGGAACAATTTCTTCCATTTTGTGGAGTATCTTATACCTATCTTGACAAGTAACCGTTCTTAGTTCCAACCAATTTGTCAACTTTTCTCTTCCATTCCTGGCATTTTGTAATAGGCCTATAAAGTTCAGGGAACACATCCAATTATTTTTTTGATTTCTCACTTTATCCTAAGAGGAGCAAGAAATGGATCATGCTCCATTAACTTACAATTTTCTTTTGCTTTCAATTCCCATGAGTTGTCCTTTGATGATATGAAGAAGCTATATTACAACATAATTCATTTGCTGTCATAGTGTATGACATTCCTGAACCTGACTGATGGAATTTAAGATGTGCAATTTTTGATCGAGAATCAGTGCCAAGAGTTTTATGTGCTTTCTGTCTTTTCAGGGTAGTTAGTCATGCGATACTACACAGAAACACTAACTTGAGATTATCCAATTTATCTGAGGCGCATAATCTTGATATTGTCATGTGTCTGATGACTTAGTTTTGGAGTTTCAAATGCTGCCCAATTTTCTGAGTTTGATTAGACCATCATTCAAGATCAGGAATTTACACACTTCAGAGGAGGAAAGTTCAGCGATGTCATCTGCTTAACTTCTTAAAGCAGTCCAACTTAGCATCTTACCTGATCGGACTGTCAACATAGTTTGATCAATGAGAATCCTGGATCCACTGAGGAGTAGCTATGATATGCAGAAGCAAAATTTCTGGATTTTAAGCGTAAGAAAAGCTAGATCGTTCAAAGTGGTATCACATGGGTAGGACCAATATATCTTTTGCTGTGCAATATATGTGCCTATCCTCCAAAAACAGATTAATGGACATTGGCAAAGCTTTCATGGAACAAGAAGTCAATTTTTGCATGTTAGAATGAGTAATGATGAACATAAGTAGCCTTTAACAGCTTTTTGTTTAAATTAACATGTGAAAATTTTGCCTTGGCTCAGACTTGGTTTTGGAGGACTAGAAAGGGAGAAGGTTTGGAGGCGTTATTATGTGCATTAGGCACATGCTGCCTGAAAGTGTAACTGATATCACAGGATATCAGCTCTGCCCATCAGAACATGAAGGATTGTTCCTGGGAGGAGCTAAATGGTTTTATTTTACTAGCTCATTGGTTGTTGGGCTTGTGCTAAGTTCCATGTAGCTAACCTGAGGTCTCAGAAGAGACTGTCATGCAACTCAATGTAAAGTAAGTATTTATTAAGCACTATACAATAAGTAAGGTTTAGAGAGAGAGACACAACTGGTGGTGATTCTAACCTGAACGTCACCACACCTCAGAGAGTGGGTGAGGTAAAGAAGGTATGACCTTCAAGGTAACCTCGGCTGTGTCGGAGTTGAAGCCATACTGTTGACTTAACTGCACATCGCAAACCAGCCATCCAGCGAACTGAGCTAACCAATCCACTATTCAGGATCAGTAACATCGACTAATACTGAAAGGAAAGTTTGTGGCTGCAGTGCCTCTAGTGGACATAGTCACGAAAGTATCCCAGTTACAAGTTTAAGGCAAGGCCTCTAAAATACCTTTCGATTCAATCCATTGGTATGAAATGGTGCGAAACCTGAGGAAAAGGTGCAAAATTAAAACACAAATCAGCATGTTTACGAGTGTTGATCAGCTATCAAGTTGAGTCTAACTTTGCTGGTCTTGACTCAGCAGAAGTGGTCTGAGTTGGGAGTCAGACAAGAGATTCTGGGTTCAGATCCCACCCTCGGATCAGACGTTCAGCTGTTCAAGTCCCACTCCAGGAACCAATGCTTTTATTCTTTTGGCAACATAAAAATGAAATTACCTGCTAATCCGCAGAATTGGAATGAGCCAAACAGGCATCACATTGTAGGTGATTCTCATGTTTCTTGAAGTCAGCTTCAATGAGAATTCAAATTGATTTTGCTGATTTTCAGGAAAATTTGCAAACATTTTTGAGGAGGTTTTACAGCTGTCATGTATCTTGCAGAGTAAATATATGTCATTCGCTAGGGAGCAATATATCTTTGAAGCTGACCCTTCAGCCCATCAAGTCCACACTGACCCTCTGAACAGCATCCCACCCAAATCCATGGCACCCCCCTCGCCAACCCCATCCCTGTAACCCTGGTATTCCCATGGCTAACCCACCTCGCCTGCACATCCCTGGACACATTGGGCAATTTAGCACGGCCAGTCTACCTAACCTGCACAATTTTAGACTGTGGGAGGAAACCAGAGCATCCAGCAGAAACGCACGCAGACACAAGGAGAGTGTGCAAACTCCACACAGACAGCCACACAGGGCTGGAATCAAACCTAGGTCCCTGGTGCTGTGAGGCAATGGTGCTAACCACTGGCTATGCTAACCACTGAGCCACTGTGCCATCTTGGAAATGCTGGCGTGCAAACAATATAGTGCAGCTCTGATTCAAAGTCGGTTAAGGTCCTGGTCATATTGAATACATGTGCATTTCCCATTCATCATCTATGCTGAAAAATAGCTTTGACCTTAGTCATTCCACAAGAACTCATTTATAGATGTGGAAACAGGCATTTGAAGCCTTGCTACTCTGCAAACCTTCTGTCTTTTTATTTAGTTAAAGGCAGCACTATTAATAGGCCAACAGAAATCATCCATTCAAGCTGTCTAGGCGCTATTTCAGCGCACTTAGGACATTGACAGATTGGAACGTTGTATACAGTGCTCTCTGAGGAGAAAATTGGTTCCCAATCTCAATACAACATAGTGTTATACTTCAGAAAACCAAGGAGTGAAAGATAGACCTGGAGCCATTCTTTGCACCTTTGCAAAAGTGTTTACTTATGGAGATGCACAGTATATCAATGTAAGTCATCACTCCAAACCTCCAGTTTTAGCCTGTTCCTATTTAATGCAACACAGGTAAATCCCCAGTTAATGCCTCCAAACTGCATCCAAGAAAACACAATTAATAATCAATTAATGCACTCTGCTATGTGGCACAGTGGCTCAGAGATTAGCACTGCTGCCTCACAGCACCAGGGACCTGGGTTTGATTCTACCCTTGGGTGACTGTCTGTATGGCATTTTCACATTCTGCCTAAGTTTCCTTTGGGTGCTCTGTTTTCCTCCCATGGTCCAAAAGATGTGCAGGTCGGGTAGATTGGCCACGCTAAATTACCCATAGTGTGCAGGCTAGGTGGATTATCCATGGAAAATGTTTGGTTATGGGGATAGAGTAGGGTTGCGGATCTGAGGGGGATACCCTTCGCAGATTCAGTGTGGAATCGATGGGCCAAATGGCCTGCTTCCACACCGTAGGGATTCTATGATCTGCAGCATTTTGCATTGGTATCGGCCTATGGTATTGTTAAGGTTGTTATTCTTTACATCACAGGCACACTCTAGTTTTATTTGTCACCCCTGAGATAACTGGGCTGTGTTTTCCAAACTTTTTGCTCTGCTCTGTCATAAATTAGCTGACAATACATCAGAACTTTGCTTTAACGCCCACACCGTGTCATAAATCATTTGTCCACCGTTGATAATGTTCTCCTTTCCTCACATATCTATTGTATATTTAAAGTCAGGCCATCTCCTGACTGCGTTACATTCACTTCCTTGTCAGCCTTGAGGTGTCACAGTTCACACTTGCAGCTCTTCATTCTAGCTGCTGAGTCACTGTGAGTAATGCCATAAGAAAGCTGCTGTAATCTAAAAACTAAATCCTCAAACAATTTGTCTCGCCTGCTCTGCTAGAAGAGTTGACTCATCTGTTGCTGCGTGTTCTTACAGTAAGGAACATTGGCAGCTTCTTTTACACTAACATGGAAGTCCTATTGGAATTGAGCATTGGTAGGTGGGTGTCAAGATGCTAACTTTATTGGACTCGTCTATAATATTCTTCACATTTATGTGAATATTGCAACACTCAAATGAACACACGCAAATACACGGCCAGCAAACCAGAGAAGCTCCCTGTCCCTGGAACCACCTGAGTAGCACCAAGAGACTGGCACAAGGTTTCTTGACTGCACTATCTCTCACCTGCTGTAAATTGATATTCTATAATTCAATTGCAAAATAGTAGACCTTAGAGAATTTTACATTTTAACTGGTGGTGTTGGGGGCTGATGACTTAGTGTCACTTTGGAGAATGTCTAATGTATAAAAGTTAAGGCAGAGATTTTTCATAGAATACCGACAGTGTGGAAGCAGACCATCAAGTCCACATTGACCCTCCAAAGAGCATCCCACCCAGAAACACCACCTACCTCCCCCTGTAACCCTGCATTTCCCATGGCTAATCCACCTAGTCGGCACATCCCTGGACACTATGGGCAATTTACCATGGCCAATCCACCTGACCTGCACATGTTTGGACTGTGGGAGGAACCCGGATAACCCTAGGGACGGGCAATAAACACTGGCCAGCCAGCAACACCCATATCCCTTAGATGAATAAAAATAAACCCAGAGGAAACCCACACAGACACGGGGAGATCATGCAAACTCCATACAGAGAGCCACTTGAGGGTGCCATCAAACCTGGGTCCCTGGCGTGGTGAGCCACAGTACTGCTCACTGGTTTTTTGTTTTTTTTTGTTGTTTGGACTTTGTATATTTCCTTTTTATGGCATTACCCATTAGTAGTAGCAAACTTCAGGCTTTAATTGTGTCAAGGGTTAGAGTGTGTGATGGAATCATCTTTTTGTACCTATTTTGTACAATCAAGCCACCAATCTGTTCCTCTTGTAACATCCAGAGAACAGACACTTCCAAAAAATTGCTACATTTGACTGTTCCAAAATATTAGTTGCACTCAATACTGTGTAGCAAGAAAGGTAGGATTTGTTGCAAGGTTTTCAATAGGGTCACTGAGAACAATTGAATGGTTGCTGAACAACAGTCAATTTGAGGTAGTTGGCTAGACACAGTCACAGGAAAAGGTTGCTGTCTGTGGGCTCCTGGTCAGTCAGGTACTTGGCAGAAGGAAGAAGAGACTCTAACCTGGAAAGTTGTTACTGTAGTAGACTCTGAGCCTTCGGAAAAGCCAAGGAAGCTGGGAAGTACAGCAATGAGTTGGGATTTGGGCTTAGGAAATATCCTAGGAGGTGTGGGGGTTGGAAGAAGTTATGTGACATTAAAAGTTCAGTAGAACCGAGAGTGACTGTGAAAGAAGCCCACAAGTCATATTTGCATGGTGCAAATATGACTGAGAAATATTCAGAGAAATGCAGGGGCAGTACCAACTTGGTAAAGATAGCTGTCAGTGAACAAGCAGGTGTTGTGCCTGGGGTAGATGCTGGAGTGCAGTTCCGAGAATTGAGGGGAACAAAGTCCCAGGAAAGGAGTGTGAAGAATGAGTTTATGAGCAATCACTGAGGCAGTCCATGATGGAGTAGTCTTTGTTAGAGTTCCAAAGTTGCGTT